TTCGGGGGGGGCCCCCATTTCACTCCAGCTTCAAAAATTTTCCAGTCCTTTTCTCGTTTTGCCATTTTTGCCAGTTTTCGTTTTTTTTTTTTTTTTGATTGTTTTGTTTTTTGGGGGGGGAAATGGAACCCGGGTCCTGGTCCCCGCCCGCCTTGGTGTCCCCCCCCAGGGGCCCCCTTTGGGTGTTTCCCCCTTCCCCCCTGGGGGCTCCCCAGCGCCCCCGGTTCCCCCGGGGGGGGGGGGGGGGCTGTTTCGTGGGGGACACGCAGGCGGACAGACACAACAAGGACGGAAGGACGGAAGACGTCTCCTGGTTAACATACCCGATGGACAGAAACAGAAAATAAAATGTACTCGACGTATTTGATGTACTCGACGTATTTGATGTACTCGACGTATTTGATGTACTCGACGTATTTGATGTACTCATCAGTTTAAAATAAACCAACTGTAGTAAAAGAACTTTTTCTCAAGTTAAAGTTCTGAGTGCGGATGTTTAACGCTTCCTACCTGTGACCTCTGACCTTTCTCCTAGCTGGTTGATCTGAAGCTTGTTAGCGTATAAACACACACACACACACACACACACACACACACACACACGCACACACACACACACACACGCACACACGCACACACGCACGCACACACACACGCACGCACACACACACGCACGCACACACACACGCACACACACACACACGCACACACACACACACACGCACACACACACACACACACGCACACACGCACACACGCACACACGCACACACGCACACACACACACACGCACACACACACGGACACACACGTATTAAATAAAGAGTGAATAAAAAGATTCACCGTCCAATCAGAACTGTTCAGCTCCTTCAGAAGGAGGAGTCAAAGAATATGGAACCTTGGAAAAAGAGAGAGAGGGAGAGGGAGAGAGGGAGGGAGGGAGGGAGTGAGGGAGAGAGAGAGAGGGAGGGAGGGAGGGACAGGGACAGAGACAGGGACAGGGACAGACGTGGGACACTAGTGAAGGATTCCCTGAAGCTTTTCCTGTTGCTGCTGATTGTAACGACGAGCCGACCGGTCAGTACGGATTCATATTAGTAGAATAAATGACATTGCATCTGTTATTAGATATAAAGTGTAAAAGTGTTTTTTAATATTTGTCATTTATATCTGTTTCTGCTTCGCAAATTGTCTCAAAATCCAAATTCCATACATTTAAATTACTCATCCATTCATATTAATGTTATTATTGCCATTGATAAAAACAAATGTGGGACAATTATTATAATTATTACATATAATACGTATCACATATGTATTTCAATAATTAATAATAATTGACATAAATTAAAAAACTACGGTGAATGATAATTAATGAAATCATTTCCTTTTCGAATTTGTTTTCCAGCTTAACATTATTTACATTTATACAAATATAATACTATTAATTAACAAAGAAAAATAAATACTACGGGACCTTTACAAGCTCTCGGCGATCATCAGTATATAAATACCTTTATGTAATATGAATAAATAATATCATAAGAGAAGAAGAGTTATTGCTGAATTATTACCTTTGTCTTTTGACAATAACTGACTGCAGGACGGAGACATGAGGAAGACTCGGGACTCTGAGGAGGTACAACAACAAGAATAATCACTCATGTGTATTATAGTTGTACGTACTTTCTCTCACACACAATAATAACACACAATGTTCAGTCCGTCAGGTGCACAACGTCCGGCTGCAGCTGTGCGTGTTTCAGACCAGGAAGTGCCCAGCTCAGGTCATGTGACCGCTGTGGACACGGCTGGGTCGCACACGGTACGACACGCACACGCACACTCTGCAGATGTGTTCAGTCGCCACGGTGACATGAAGTCAGGTGTCGCTGTCATCGCATCACCGAGAGCATCTGGAGAAAACATCTGCACACCACAATGTGTTGAACACACGTCTGCTGGCTTCCTTCCTCTGAATCGACACACTCACGTTTCCATTTCACACCTTTGGTTTGTATTTTTTGTTCTTTCTCGTAAGCTCTGGCGAAGCTCCGCCTCCGGGCCCGCCCGCCTTCCAGCGGCGGCCCGGTGGAGGTCGCCCTCCCCGGGCCGGTGTTGGACCTGAGCTCCCTGGTCCTCTACGGCGCTCAGGCCGTCCCCGTTCGCCTGAAGATCCTCCTGGACCGCCTCTACAGCGTCCTGAGCCCACAGCAGGTACGGCCGGTGGCCCCAGACCCGCTGATCTCACGCACGGTGTCACATGTCGCATGTTCTGCGTCCTCCTCAGGTGGGCCACATACTGCACACGCTGGGCTGGAGTCTGGGGGACTACGTCAGAGGCTACATGCTGCAGGTACGTTATCGCAGACCCTTGATGAAGAAAGAATGCAGAGAACAGGGAAGAAAGATGGAGGACGGACGGTTAAAGCCAGTAAAAGGGGAGGAGTTGAACACGTCTCGACCAATGAGCGGTGGTAGAATTGCGCTCCGTGTGCTTGAGGGTTTCCTTCAGAATTCCGCGGGTTTTTGACGCGGCGCTTTGATGTTTTTCCCGCCCAGCACCCCGGCGGGAAGCCGCTGGACCGATGGCTGACGGCGCCGCCCGAGGAGGAGCTGCTCATCCTCCAGCAGTTCCTGCGCTTTGGCGAGACTCGGCCCATCGTGGAGCTGATGACGCCCCAGTGCCTGGCGGCCGTCGGTCACGTCTCCGACCTCCAGCCGAGCTCCGCCCCCGGGGGCCTTCGGCCGGACGGCGACGCGGTGGTCGAACGAGTCGCTGGGGCGTTCGGATGCTCGAGGGGAGACTTGCGTCCCGTCTGCCGCTACGAGAAAATCAGTCTGGCCGACCACAAAGACACCGTCGGCCATTTTGAAGACTTTCCTGAGGTGGCGTCTTTGCTTCTGCCTTTACCCTTTCCGAACTCCGCCCACTTGGCTCCTCCCATCCAGGTAACCAGAAGCGCTCCATCACTTATTGGCAGAACCAAGCTGCTTTAGGTCTGATTTAGAGGCTTTTGCTTCGTCCACTTTTACACCAGGAGCTCCTTCCTCCCAGTAAGCTGACGCGATGCCTACGGAGGCTCAGTGGGGCCAAACCGCCCGAGAGACCGGAAGGAGGAAGAGCGGAGGGGGGCGGTCCGATTTCTATAGTTGAACCAGGTTCAAAAGTCAAAGCAGACCCCGAGAAGCCAAATACGACCGACCTCCAACTGGCCAAACAGGAGGACACCTCCTCCATCTCGCCTTCCCTTAGCTCCCCACTTGCTCCTTCTTCTTCTTCCTCACTCCATCGGTCCTTTTCCTCCTCTTCCTCTTCTCCCCTGAGGATTCCCCCGAAGCTTCACGGCTCCTCCTCCTTTGCTTTCAAGTCCCTCCCATCCTTCTCTTCCTCCTTCCTCTGTCCTCTTCCCAACGCCTCCTTTCCTTCCTCTCTCCGTCCTCTCGCATCCTCGTCTTCCTCCCTCTGTCCTCTCCCCTCTTCCCTATGCTCCCTCCCTTCGGTTTCCCCCGCGGGGGTTCGCAAGGGGAGAGTCTGCTGTGGGGTTTGTGGGAAAAGCTTCTATGACAAAGGTAAGAATGTTTCTGCTTCACATCTAGTGTTTAGAGGTGAGGGGAGCTCCTCAGGGCTCAGGCTTAGATCCCCTACTTATTTACTTGGTTGGTGTTCCACAGGGTTCTATTTGAGGTCCTCTTACTTAGTGTGTGTCTCAGGGTTTATAAATGGCTGCATTCCAGGTTCTCCACTGGTCTTCAGATGAGAACAACCACACACGTTTCCTCAGTGAACCGAGTTCACCGAAATTAAGTTCCCCGCCTCCCTTCCGTCTCTGCAGGAACTCTGAAGATCCACTACAACGCGGTCCACCTGAAGATCAAGCACCGCTGCACAGTGCCGGGCTGCTCCATGGTCTTCAGTTCGCTGCGCAGCCGCAACCGACACAGCGCCAACCCCAACCCCCGGCTGCACACGGGGGCCGATCGGGACGCGCACGGCGCTCACAAGGGAGGACACGTTGGCGTCCTCTGGCGACAGGACGAGGACGCACGGCCCAACGGGTCGAGCGGCGATGCAGACCCTCGCCTCGGGGCGCCTCCTCGCCTTCGACGCACTCCGAGCCGAGACTCTGAGGAGAGCCTGACCTCGCCGGGGTCACCTTCGTCTCTCGCCGCTTCGGTGTACGAAACCGAACGCTGCCGGCGCCCGCTCGACCCTCACGCCGACCACGCGGCTCCCGCCCACCTCCCCGGGCCCGCCCCCGTCACCGCGGGGCCTCGAGACGTACGACCTGCGTCGCACGACGAACGAGAAGAGGCTCACGAGGCGAAATGGCAGCGGCGGTCCGGTGACTCTTTGCCAAAGAAGAAGCCCAGGAAGTCGAGCATGCCGGTGAAAATAGCGAGAGGAGGGAGGGACGGGGGAGGGAAAGAGGAGGAGGATGAACATGAGGGGACGTTCCATTGGTCTACAACTTTATAGACACATTTTCAATCAATAAATCAACACCAAGATTATTTGACAATCCTAATAAACTCTTTTCTTCAGCTTATTGGAAGCCGACTGCGGTAACAGTTTTATTCTACCTATAATTCACCTGAAAATACAGTTCATACGAACACTGCATGTTTAACACAGAAGAGTTATACGTCATAGTGACTTCAGGTACTGCATATGTGATAGAAATGATAAAATGTGTGTATTTAATAAATCATACCTCTCTGTCTCCCTCTTGTGGTCATTTTCCGGTTATTGCAACATTTACTGCAACAATTTAATTATTAATTAATCCTAAAGGGTTTGATCAAATATCACTGCAACAACAATATAATTGAAAAACGAACAAAATATCCTTTAAAATACGTTTAAAATACATGAATTAAAGAAAACATTTTTTAAATGTTTGATATTTTTCACTCCAGTCCTTTTTCCAACTATTATTCTTCATTTTTAACTTGTATTCGTGCTTTTCTGTGACTGTCTCAGCATGTAAATGTTTAACCACCATCGAAGAAGAGGCAGAGAAGGAACCTTTGACTCTGGTCTCCGTTTCCCCCCGGACGGATCCTCTGTGCGGAGCTGCGCTAGTAAACACCGCCGGGCGGCTGAAGGTCTGGAGGCAAACTGGTCCCGGTCCTCTGACATGTCCAGCGGGGGGGTCCTGAGGGGCTTCGTCGCGCGCAGGCTCGCCGCCGCCTCGCGGGAGGTCCTCGCGCTCGTGGACCGAATCGTAGCCGGATACGAGGAGGAGGCGTCGGGCTTCAGGCGGGAGATCCGGCGGCAGGAGGAGCAGCTGGAGCTCCTGCGGGGCGAGGCGGCTCGCTGCGCGGCAGGTGACATTTGATCCTCCGTGAATAAATATTCATCACCGTCGTTCTCTAATTCGGCTTCGCTGTAACGGACTTCCGAGCACTTCATTTCTATTTTGGACTGAAATTGTTCTCGTCTTCGGTTTTAACCGCGCGGTGCTTCATGTGTGAGACAGCAGCTTGTTTCTGGTCATTAAATCATCTCTTCTGTTGCTGGGAGGGTTTAGAAGAGCTGATCCAGCTGTGAGGATTTGGCATATTTGCGGTCAAAATAAAGCACATCGCACATTCTCCTAAAACATCCAGATGTGAGCAGCAGCGGGATTCTCGGGCCTCTTGAGGAGGAAGATGATGAAGTGGAGGAGCAGCCGGAGAACCTTGAAGACTCCACAGACGAAGCTCCATCGAGGTTCCTTCATGTTTATTTGCATCTTATCTTTTGTGTTTGTTCTAATCAGCAACATGTTTTATTTATCCACAAGTAGCGGCGGACAAATCCTCCATAATTCCACTCAAATGTACCAACGTGTTGATTGTTTTCCGCCCAGAGAGCCGCATCCGCAGCGCCAGCCAGGCAGACCTCAGATCAGCGACGCACAGAACCACCTGGACCTCCGGATCCGGATCCTGGAGGACTCTCGGGCCGACGTGCTCTCGACCGGCGGTGAGACGCTTTTCCTCGTTTCTGCCCAGTGGAGGTTGGAAGGCGTCCTCACGGTGTCTCCTCCCCTCAGCTCTGAACAAGTGTCCCACGCTGAGGCTCAAGTGTCCCCGGGGCCTGCGGGAGCCGGACTTCCTGGACCTGCTCCGGTCCTCCTTCCCTCAGCAGTGCGGCGGCGACGGGCGCTTCGAGGTCCTGACGTCGGACCGGCGGCGGCGGCTGAGGCCTCTGAGGGTGGCGGCGCTGACGGCGGAGGAGATCGACAGGAACGCCGGCGGCTCGGGGGGGAAGTCCACCATCTACATCCGACTCAAGGTGGCGAACACAAGAACATGATGATGATGATGATGATGATGATGAACAGCTTCGTCTTAAATCACTTTGCATCACTTTTAGACAAACACGGGTCCACAGGCCGCCGCCGCCGGCGAAGACGCAGCTGGACTTCGGAGGTGAGACGAGTGTGAGACGCGACGCATTCAGTCGCACGTGAAGTCTGAATGTTGAAGGTTCTTTTGTTGCTTTGCTTTCTTACACACAGATTAATAAACCAGAACTGAAAACTTGTCCAAAACCAGAAGTTTATTTTGAAAAGACCGAGTGGTCAAACTTGGAAACACGCTCAGGAGAAGACGTCTGAGCTCCTAACTGGACATTAAACCTTCTCATCTGTCCCCGGCAGCCCTCAGGAGGTCGAAGGCAACGGAGACATGGAGACGGAGGACGGAGGGACGGCAGAGCCAGCAGGGAGTAAAGGACGCGGTAACCATGACGTGGAAAAGGAGGAAGGAGGAGAAGAAGAAGAAGAAGAAGCAGCCAATCACAGCGACGAGGACTGGAAACCAGACGGGAGCGACGCGCTGCTCCAGCCAGAGGCGGCGAGACAAAAAGCCGGAGGTTCTGCCGGCGAGAGGACGGAGGACGTCGGCGTTCCGTCCTGCCGAGTCTGCGGCGCGCCGCGCCAGTCGGAGGCAGAGCCGCACGACTGCAACGTCTGCCGCACCGCTTTTGCACAGAAGGCGCCGGAGGACCGCCGGAAACTCCAAAAGGCGGGAAAACCCAACAAATGCCCTCAAACCCGCCGCAAGGCGCTAAAGAGGCAGCCGGGGGGCGGCGCCGGCGAGAAGGCGCACCTGTGCGGCGTGTGCGGCAAATCCCTCAGCGACTACAGATCGCTGACCCGCCACAAGATGACGCACTCCGGGGAGAGACCCCACAGCTGTCAGACCTGCGGGAGGCGGTTCAAGCTGCCCGGGACGCTGAGGCAGCACGAGAAGATCCACGCGGCCCGCGAGCGCTCGCACCTCTGCGACGTCTGCTGCAAGATGTTCCTGACCAGCAAGCAGCTGCAGATCCACCTGCGGACGCACAGCGAGGAGAAGCCGTACCGCTGCGGCGAGTGCGGCCGCGGCTTCACCACCAAGGGGCCGCTGACCATCCACATGCGCGTCCACACCGGCGAGGCGCCGTACCGCTGCCCCGACTGCGGCTGGGCCTTCAAGCGCAAGATCAACCTGGACAACCACGTGACCATCCACTCGGGCCTCAGGCCCTTCGTCTGCGGCGTCTGCGGGAAGGCGTGCGCCCGCAAGTCCTACCTGACGGTGCACATGAGGACGCACAGCGGGGAGAGACCGTACAAGTGTCCGCTGTGCGACAAGGCCTTCACGCAGAGCCACTGCCTGAAGACGCACAGGAAGAGCCACGGGGCGGCGACCTGAGACACCGTCCGCCTGCCGCCGCCTTTACTTCGTATTTAAATGTGCTGCTGTAAACATCTGCAGATGGGGATTTGAACCGTAGTGTTTGATGTGTAAGTAGTAATCAAGCTAAAAAATAAAGGACTTGTTATTGTTCACAGCGCGTCTTAATGATCCGATTCAGATAAAAAACTAAATGACGTTTTTTAGTCCAAAACTTTTGGAGAAATTATGATTTTCATCAGATGGTGACGTGAGTTCAGCAATGAAGCGTAACGATTGGTTTATTAGTCAGTTTACCTTTTATTAGAGAGGAAAGACAATTATTGTTATTTTGCATAAAACGTTTCTAATCGATGATGTTATTGATCACGTTTGTTAAATGGACAGTTAAGTACGTCAATAAAAAGTGTATAAAACCTTTGGAGACATGAAATATAAATAACGTTTAGAACATACTGCTTATATATATGTATATATATATATAAGCAGTATGTATATAGTATATATATATATAAGTGCCAGAAATAAACCAACGATTTAATTTTCCAGTTAACACAATTTATTTGAGCTGAGACGCTTCAGTGGAAAATAATCAAATATGTTTGAATGACTCGCTTTCATTTGAATATCTCAGATTTGTCACACACACAAACACGAGGTATTCAAAACCATCCATTAGGCCGCAATGTGTTTTGGATAATCAGACTGTTCTCTCACTCACACACACACACACACACACACACACACACACACACACACACACACACATCATTATCAGTGACCAGCGATCAGATACGACACATCTGGCAACACGCATTGCTGATGGTTTAGATTTAGAAAATTAATATATAATTATATTTTCATGTATTATTAATGTTGTTATGTTTGTATTTTTGTTCTGTCTCATATATTGAATGACACAATAAACACAAGTCCAACACAAATGGAAGTACCACAAAGTTCTACTTGCATGTAACACAGTGTTCTCCTGCGCGCTATCAGGAGTAGTTTACTGCGGAGCGCCGTGTTTCCGGTCGGACTACTTTTACGGACGGACCGGTGCACCTTGGACTCTCTCGTGACTTTTCTTTTCTTTCTCATGAACAAAGTCGCGACTTAAACATGTCCAGCGTGCAGCGTGTCCTCCGCCTCGCGGACAGGTGCAACAGGTGCCGTTCGAGCTTCCGGTTCCTGCGCGTTAGCTCGCGCGTTAGCTTCTCATCGGGTGTAACGGACCGACACACGAACCGTTACCGGAGCAGCACAACCGGTTACCGACGCTACACAACCTCGGCGCGGGCCGAGCCGGTCCGGATCGGCTGCGCGTCCGGGTTCTGGGGGGACACAGCGGCCTCAGGTAGGGCCACAAACACCTGTCACACAGGCTAGTAGCATTAGCCTCACGATGCTAACGCGCACTGACAGCAGATGAACTTTCCCATTGTGGAATAAAGAAATAATAATAATAATACTACATTATTTATACATATATATATTTGTATCTGCCATGAGTAAAGTTAATAAGTGACAGTGAAGACATCGTTTGAAGTAATCTTGTGTCCTTTTGACACAATAACCCTCGATAACAACCCACGTGATGAACATTCCTGACTCCCCGCAGTGCCTCAGCTGATCCACGGGGGGGCGCTGGACTTCCTGGTGTTTGACTACCTGAGTGAGATCACCATGTCTCTGCTCACCGCCGCCAAGAGCAAGACGCCCGTGAGTCCTCCGTACCGCGGCGCCTCCTCGCCGCCTTTCCTAACCACCCTCCTTGACCCCTGGGAGGAGCGATGTGTGTGTGTACACGTGTGTGTATGTGAACATGTGATGATCAGGCATGATGTGTCTCGTAGAATCTGGGTTACGCTCCGGACTTCGTCCACGTGGCTCTCGCTCCGTTTATCAATGACATCCACAGGAAAGGTGAGCGACTTGAATACTGTCTGTGTGTACTTCATGTACACATACGTAGTATTACATCACCACCTCCTCTCAGGTATCCGCGTGGTCAGTAACGCAGGAGGGGTCAACCCTCTGGCGTGCGCCGAGGCCATACAGGAAGTCATCAGGAAGGCTGGCCTGGACCTCAAGGTTGCCGTGGTGACCGGGGACGACCTCATGCCCCACGTAAGGTTGCGTCATCATCAGCGTCTTTCGGCAGACATACGATTCTGACCCCCCCCCTCGCCCCCTCCCTCAGAGAAGCAGCCTCTCAGAAGTAAAGCTGGCGGCTGACGGCAGCACGCGGCCGTTACCCAGAAGCCTCCACAGTATGAACGCTTACCTCGGGTACGAAAAGCTGTCAAACGGTTGTTTTCCCGTCACTCTCTTGTATGTATTCATATGAATAAGTAAGCCCCCCCCCCCTCAGGGCTCAACCCATCCGCCGCTGTCTGGACCTGGGCGCTGACATCGTGGTGTCGGGTCGCTGTGTGGACAGCGCCGTGGTTCTGGGTCCTCTGATGCACAGCGTGCGTTCCACATCAACATGAAGGGATACAATTTTATATATATAAATAATTAATGAGGTGTGTGTTTTCAGTTTGGGTGGGGGAGGACGGACTACGACCTGCTGGCCTCCGGCAGGTAAACACACCTGGACCACAGCTGGGCTGCGAGGGGGAGGAGCTGGAGGCGGAGCTTCAAAGCAAAACGTCAAACATGTCAGAAATATAGAAGAGTCACTTTTCTTTTCATGATTGTGTGTGTGTGTGTGTGTGTGTGTGTGTGTGTGTGTGTGTGTGTGTGTGTGTGCGCGTGCGCGTGCGTCTCAGCCTGGCGGGTCACCTGATCGAGTGCGGCGCTCAGAGTACCGGTGGCGTTTTCACCGATTGGCACAAAGTTCCTGACTGGTGAGACGATTTGAATACTCCCTCCACGCTTTTATTCTGAAGGCAGAACACCTGCGTGGAGTTTCACGCTGTCGTCGTCCCGTGTGTTTGCGTTTCTGAGGAAGTGACATCATGAGGAGGAGGAGTTTGTCATTGCAGCCGTAGACAATAACAGTACGCGGTGTATAATGCGACCACGTGAACGGCGCCCTGAGCAGCTCCGTCACCTCTCAGGGACCTCATGGGCTTCCCGGTGGTGGAGGTCTCCTCCGACGGCTCCTTCGTCCTCTCCAAGCCGCCCGGCACCGGCGGCCTGGTCTCCTTCGGCACGGCGGCCGAGCAGCTGGTGTACGAGATCGGAGACCCGCGGCGCTACCTGCTGCCCGACGTCACCCTGTGACTTCAGCCAGGTGCTCATCCCGGAAGTAGCAGGTACCCAGAGAGCGAGGGGGGGGCGGGGCGGCGGGCGGCGGGGGGGGGCGTCTCCGGGGACGCGACCGCTGGCTGAACTCAGGAATGTTTTCAGACCCCAGAAACCATCTGGAGGCGATAAACAAACCCTGAATAAACTCTTTATCGTCCGTCGTGTCCCCGGAGGAGTAAACAGGTCCTCGGGTTGAACCCGTCTGCGGCGCCTCTCGATAAGTCGCTGGTGACTCGGTCGGTGAGCGCCGGCCCGATGAGGCGTCCGGTGAACCCGCCGCGTCCCGCCGAAACACCACAGAACCGAACGCCACTCAGCAGAGACGAGAACTAACAAATCCTCATCGTTGTGCTTCTTGTGCCGTCGCCGTCACCACGATGGAGATAAGCCCCTCCCCCTCTGCGCCGAGAATGAGGCGGATAGCCTCCGTGTCCCGCAGGAGACACGCTTCCTGCTTGCGTTCCCCCAAAGCACCATGGGAGATTTAGCAATGGGGGTTAAAGCTGCAACGTTGAGATATGGAGCTGCGTGTGCGTGTTCGTGTGCGTGTGCGTGTGTGCGTGTGCGTGTGTTCAGGCGTTGACGGAGGTGCTGTCACAGTGACGGGGGCTAAAGGTTCCCCTCCATCACATGACTACAAGGTAAACAGCGTTTCATTTTTTCATGTGTTGGAAACGTTCTGCATCGCACACACACACACACGTGTAGCGTGTTTGAAACAGGTCTGCGCCACCTACATGGACGGCTACAGGGCGACGGCGGTTTGTCCCGTCGGCGGCCCGAGAGCGGCGGAGAAGGCCAGAAGAACCGCCGAGAGCATCATCAAGCGGTGGGCGGAGCAACGGAAACGCCTCCACCCGACCTTTGTGTGCCGCTGAGGATAACGTGTGTGTGTGTGTTTGCGTGTGCGTGTGCGTGTGCGCAGCACCAAGCGGATGCTGGAGCAGTTGAAGATGGAAGACTTCTCCTCCGTCAACATCCAGATCCTCGGCGCCGAGGACACGTACGGAGCCGACGCCCGCTGCCAGGTGACCTCGGCTCACACGGCGAGGAGGTTTACAACGTGAAGGAGGGCTAGCGTGTGACTGACCTCTGACCTCTGACCTGTTGTCTGTGGCAGCAGAGCTCCAGAGAGGCGGTGATCTGGATGGCCGCCCACCACAAGCAGAAGAAAGCTCTGGAGATCTTTGCCAGAGAAATCGCTCCTGCAGGAACAGGAATGGGTATTTTACTTTGAAACTCTCCCAAACACTCGCCTACATTACCCACAGTGCAGTTCTGTCTAAGAGTTGGGCTGTGTTAAAGCAGCAGCTCATTACACAAAATCAGAATTGCTTTACAATTTTATCCCCATTTTTAGGGCCATTTTCACAACTTTCTGAGTCTGTATCGAGAGTTTCACAATAAAAGCATCAGAACAGACTGGAATTAAGTGGCCTCACAGCAGAAATAGAAAGTCGCTCTCAGTTCGGCTTCAGGTCAAATAAGACCTCGTGCTCCCCGTCACACACAGTGGTACATCTTTGGGTGTTTATGGTGACTTGCTGCATGACCCCCGTGTGACTCCGGACTCTGGCTGACAGGAAGCTGAACTCAGACCAGCTGCTGGATACAAACATTGTGTCTTCTCCTCGCAGCTCCCGGGCTGACCGGCATCGTGGGCGGACGGCCCCGAGTGTGAGTTCAGGACACACACACGCACACACACACACACACACACACACGCACACACACAATGACCCGGGTGCATCGTCCTCTGCAGGTCTCCGGTGCTGAAGCCCTTCTTCTTCTTACACCCCAAAGCTGAGCTGAAGGTGAGTCTCCGTCTCAAACACGTCGTCGTCTCCTCATGAACACAATGGTCGTCATCGAATGAAACCCTGCAGGTGGACGTCCACGTCGGGGGGGAGCTGGTGGAGACTCTCAAGGAGGCGGGGCCTGACCCGCTTGAGCAGGAAGCCCCTCCCACCTCAGCACAGGAAGAACCCGACGCAGGTGAACCGGCTCACCGGAGGTTCCAGGGGCCTTGACGAGACCCATATGGTCTGTAATCAAGCGGTCCTTGAGGGTGTTTTGGGGGTCCTTTCGCCTTCCTCAAGGGCTCCCAAAGGGTCCTTGAGGGCTCCTGGGTGCTGGAAAAGGTCATGGGGCTCCATTAGTCCAGAGGTCCTTGAAGAGGCTTCATTTGCTCCTAAGAAGGAGCCTAAAACCTCACTGAGTGGTCTCAAGTGGTGCTTGAGGGGTTTGGGGGGTTCTGAAAAGGGGCTTGGTTAGTCCTTGAGGAAGTTCCAGGGTCCTTGAGGTTCTTGATTCATCAGTTATTGATTACGGACGACAGAGTGCTGTGGAGGGATTTGTTGCGTTACTGATCACACGTCATTTATCTGACGCTTTTATCCAAAGCGACTTAAATAAGAACATTTAACCATAAGGACACAAACTCAGAAGAACAAGAAACAAGAAAGTGTGATTTCCTCAAATAATGTACAACTTGCTGTAGATAAGAACCATTATAAGTCCAATGTAAGTGGTGCAGTTAGTTAGTGTGTTAGTGGAGGTAGAGTCTGAAGAGGTGTGTCTTTAGTCTGAAGATGTGAAGGCTCTCTGTGGTCCTGATGTCTTCAGAGTGATGACACACTGCTGTCTGCCTCCAGAGGGCGCCGTGTGTGTGTGTGTGTGTGTGTGTGTGTGTGTGTGTGTGCGTGTGCGTTCTTCACACACACACACACACACTTTTTGTCCCTCATGAACGGTCAGAACACAAAGCTTCTCTCCACATTAACGACGTCGTTCTGACGCACTGACATTCTTTTATTTCTAAAGGGAACAGAAACTGAATTGCAGTAAAAAAAAAACACTATTACTTGTGCTGAAGTACTGTGATTGTTGTCAGGTATTGAATATAAATAACATGCCAACTTTTTTTTTTTTTAACTTAATGCTTCGGATTAAATAAAGAACCTGATCAGACATAAAACAATAAGAATATCATTTAGTTTAGTAACTTTATGGATGAAAATCATCAAGAATCATTTTACTGCATTGCTGTCATATATATATATATATATATATATATATATATATTTTTTTTTTTTGTATGTTTATAAAGTACATCTAATACCTCTGATAATCAAAGTGCACACGCACACAGAAAATAAGACAATAGAAAGATTAAAAAGGGAAGAAAAGAATATTTGATTACTTTTTTAAGTTTTCAAAATAAAAATGAGGTATTTCACAAACTATTCTGACATTTCTCAAATATTGTTTTAATCATTTCTTCAAACTTTTATACTAAAATTATTTCTCATTCTTTTTAGTTTAGATTTTCTTTTATAAAATATTTTACTTCAATGTTTACTTATATAGTAGTGTATATACAGTAGATGATAGTTTTCAAACATTTGATTTAAATCTGTATATTTTCTTGCATATATGAGAAAGGATTTTTTTTTAAATAGAAAAAACAAAAGAAGGATTTATTTACATGTTGACGTGAAGCAAAAAGGACAAAACAAAATAACGTTGCACTACTGGACTGGACTGGACACCCCCTCCCACGTCACCTGAGAGAAACCAGATGTTTGTCTCCCCAGGACTTCCCAGCGGACCACACAGCTACCGACTGGAGGATCTGGCCTACACCCGGAGCGGAGACAAAGGAGACTCCGCCAACATCGGTGAGAGACCAGGATCACATGTTCAACACGTAGCGGGCTTAGCTTAGCGTGTGGAAGCGTAACGTGTGGACTGACCAGAGAGATGATCAGCGAGCCCCCTTCTATTCTCCAGGGGGTGATAGCGCGTCTACCTCTCTTCTTCCCCTACCCTGAAGAAGCACCTGAACTTCTTCCGTGGTGGAGGGACTACTTCTCCCACCTCATCGAGCCGGGCGCGACAAACGCCGTCACACGGTGAACAGAGAAGAGGGAGAAGCTGTGGTTGTGTGTACGCTCCAACCACAACACACACACACACACACACACACACACACGGGGAGCAGTGATTGGTGCTTTGGTTTGTGTAATTACTGTCAGACCTTCAATGTCAACACACCACAGCTAAACATTCACTACACACACACACAGATGATCAAACTGGGAAAAAGCACAGGTACAACTCCATGGTCTTCTTCTTAAATCTAAGATGAGGAGGTAGCCTAGCTTAGCATAAAGGTTGGGAACAGGGTGGAAAAACTGCGTCAAAAGAAATTCTGTAACATCTGTAAAGATCACAAATAATGACGCTGCTTGTTTTAAAAGTAGTTTTTTTATTTATGAAAATGCCTTTTCTCCGTTCTCCGTTTTCTAAAATCTCAGCTGTTATTTGAACATTATTTAGACTAAAAGAGAAGAGTCCGTAATGAGAACCGAACCATCTGGTTTTTGGTCTAACGTTTGACCGACGTTTAACATCTTAACCGTGTTAGTGGCTCCGCCTCCAAACCGCTGACCAACATTCAACCGAGCGATGCGGCTTCAAACCAGCAGTCCAAACTGACAAAGACAAAGACGAGTCATAGCGGACATCAAAGGCTCACGGAGGCCGTAGGAAATGTGAAACCAAAGCTTCATGAGTTAAAGCCGCGTTCTCACTCCTGCCCACCAGGGGGCGACTCCTCTGCTCCCATAGACGTCTATGAGGAAATGACTCTACTTCTCTGTAGTGACCAGCAGGGGGCGACTCCTCTGCTCCCATAGACGTCTATGAGGAAATGACTCTACTTCTCTGTAGTGACCAGCAGGGGGCGACTCCTCTGCTCCCATAGACGTCTATGAGGAAATGACTCTACTTCTCTGTAGTGACCAGCAGGGGGCGACTCCTCTGCTCCCATAGACGTCTATGAGGAAATGACTCAAATGATTCATACACGTGTTTATGAGGCTGTACACATGAGTCTATGGACTCGATCTCTAGACTTCTTCAACACAGCAGGATGTTCATTTAGGGATATTTATATTGTAGTCAGACCATAGAATGGGATGTTTTAGGGCGGGGCTACACGCTAGTTGACATATGCCGTCTAAGTCTTCCTCACTCCAAATAAGGTCACTTCCTGTTGACCAAAAAAAATTTTCCCAAAAAAGTTGACCAAACTCGAGGCTTCAAAGTGGAAATGTCTCACTTGTTAAATACTTACTTGTGTATCTTTATTTCTATTTTCCATCCTTCCGTCCTGTTGTGACTCAGCGCTGCGGCATGTTAGCCATTAAGCGTGATGACGAGGTGGGCGGAGCCAAGTCCGCTGCTCGAAACAGGCTCTTCATTAGTGAAGCCGCCGCTCGTTAAAGCTGCAGGCGGCACTCACACACACACACACACACACACACACTCACTCACACTCACGGACTCACTCACACACACACACACTTACACTCACAGACTCTCATGCACACACAGACACGTGCGCACACACACACACTCACAGACTCACATGCACACACACCTAACTACTTGCAGACACACAAGTTTTGCATTGATCACACTCGACACCACAACCCCCCCCAACATATAAACGCACACAAACACACAGACATGCATTCATAACACAGGCCGTCTGACCAAAAGCTGAACACACACACACATTTTATAGACACACACACACACACACGCCTCAACATGGCCAATAAACCACCACACCAACACGTGGTGCCTGTCTGTCTGTGAGTGTGAGTGTGTGGTGAAGGTGTGCGTTGCTGAGGGTTAGGGTGTGATTTTCTTGTGTGTGTGTGTTTCTGCAGATACACTCTTCCCGGCATCCACGGCCTCAACTTTGTCCTGCAGAGCTCGCTGGGAGGGGGAGGGGTGGCGTCTCTACGCAGCGACCCCCAGGTAACACACACGCACACACAGACACGCACACACAGACACACACTGCTTCCTGCCTCTCATCACAGCGTCCCTCAAAGAGCTGCAGAGGAACCAGGCGCAGCTGAGATCTAACCTGGTTCAAGTACTTTTCCCCCTCGATACATTTATCGTGTTTATGTTGTTTTGATAAAATATGATTCATTTATTAGATCCGATGCATGAACCATGTTTTCGCTCATGATGCCTGTTGGACCGTCAGTCATCAGCAAAAAGATTCTTTACTTTAGATTTTACTCAAGTAAAATATCCGTTCTTCTGGCTAAAGGTTTGAATACGTCTCCTCTTCGTGGGGATAATGTCAGATACAACGTGCCCTTTGACCTCTTTATCTTTCTTCTTCCTTCTCAACCTCCTCCCACTTTCCTCCTCTTCTTCCCTTGTTTACTGCCTCCACTTTACATGAAAGAAACACACTCTCTGTGCCCACACACACACACACACACACACACACACATTACGGTGGTTGTTGTTGTTGTTGTTGTGGGAACAAACTGAGCTGTGATGTTTCTTCTTCTCTCAGGGAAAAGCTTACGGTCAGATGCTGCTGGACGTGAAGCTGCACGGACTCCCCGACCTCAAGTCCCTGGTGGACTGAGACACTCTGGACCACCACAAAAGAAGAGAGAGAGCAAAGAGAAACACGAAAGGACATTTTAGCTCAACAGAACGAGGAGAAACCAGATGAAACGCCAAACCACAGGCTCGGCCAACGTTAGCTAACGTTAGCTAACGCATTTAAATCAACCAGAGTAGATGATTAAGGAGCAACACGTTGAAATAGAGGAACACGACTCGCACTAAACCTGGGCTCCGGCTTCAAGGGACCTGACCTCTGTGACCCCGGCGGTTTGGAGACATCAGGCCTCAGGTTGGTGTGCACGCCCCCCCCCCACCTCCTTCACCTCGACGCGACCCGGCTCCGGTGTTCGCCGGGCTGCAGGAATGTGCGTCTGCTTCCACCAGAGCACCGTCCCTCCGGCTTCCAGGCTGCTTTTCTGTAATTGCAAACAGACCGAGAGTTTGTTCTCTACAGCTTCCGTCAACTCAGGACTCCCCCACCCCCCAAATCCTCCTCCTCCTCGGAGAGAGAAGAGATCTCCCCCTCTTTGGACGCATTACTCTTTCCTGGCAACCGCTTTGGTACTTTCACTTCTCTGATGCTTTGGGGAATTATACATTTTTGTGTATTTAATCTTATTTTTCAGCTGCTGCATTCGTGAGCTCTGAGTGTTTTCACTCAAACACAGAGAAGAACCACATGAGACCTTCTGCCAGGAAGAAAAAGCAAAACCACGATCCTCCGAACAGACTTACGGAGAGATTTACACGCAATAAAATCCTAAAATAACCCACAACAACGAGAGTCCTTCCACAAACAAATTGAGCACAGACGCGCGAGTATCAATCAACAAATATTCGCCTCAGAAGAATCCACGGGCTCCTCTGGAGTTCAACGGACGCCGCCGAGGTGGTCCCATCGTTTTTAGCGAGGTGTTGAAATCCAGGCTGTAAATTCCAGCTCAGTTTCCCGTTTTCATAAAAAAGAAAGCTCCGATTTCATGTGGAATCTCGCATCCGCCTGCTAATTAGTCACCGTGGAATAAGTTCTAGCAGCTAAATGTTCACACGTCGCGGCTGACGGGAAAGACGGTTTGGTGTTTGATTTTAAACCTTAAGCGACATGTTCTCTCTCTCAGTATGAAGCTAAATAGAAGGAACACTTGTAATATGAACTTCAGAAATAAATATGTTTGAAAAAATCTGTCCTCCAGAATATTCTGCAGCGGACGAGCCTGTTAGTCTGCACTGAACTCATGAATGTTCAGTATTTGTTGGTGAAAAAGCAGTGGCCCCAGGATGGAACTGTGTGTGTGTGTGTGTGTGTGTGTGTGTGTGTGTGTGTGTGTGCGTGTGTGTGTGTGTGTGTGCATATATAACATGGAGTCTGAGCCTTTCTTTGGGTTTATTCACCTCTTAAGTTTTAACATCACTTGTTTCTTCCAAGAACTTTTCTCCAAATGAAGTAATGAAAGTTTGATTCCGTGCTTTCTTTATTTTTATCACTTCATGCTTTTAAGGAGCCGATTTTAATTGTATTGAGTGTGTGGAGACCACACTCGAAGAGAGCACATACACGTGGTTTTATTTCAAGGTGTGTGGTTCTGTCTCAGAGTGAGAGCAGACGGGCCTCCCTCTCTCACGAACATACACAGAGAAAAAATAATACTCTTTTCTCTTTTAGTTCTTGCACAACCAACCCGACACCACCCACGACCACTCACCCTTTGTTTAGACTGGAGAACTGAGACCGACCACGGGCCACCGGTCGAGCGAGGGGAGATGACTCCACGCACCCCAGTGTTGATGGTAGAT